CTCTTCTTTCATTTCATTCTTTTGTTTCTCTTGTTTGATTTTATTCTTTTGATTGATTCACTTTTGTCGTTAGTCTTTTATTGTTGATTTCGTCCGATTTTTTTCTTTTGTGATGTTTTGTTTCCTATAACACGCGTCTCTATAACACGACTCTATAGTGTGACTCGTTATAATACGACCCTCAATAATGTGACTCCCTATAACACGAGTCTATAATGTGACTCACTATAACACGACCCTATATAATGGGACTCACTATAATACGACCTTCTACAATGTGATTCGCTATAATACGACCTTCTATAATGTGACTTGCTATATAATATGACCCTCTGAAATGGTAACTCGCTATAATACGGCTTTCTATAATGTGACTCGCTATAATACGACCTTCTATAATGTAACTTACTATTTTACGACCCTCTATAATGTGACTCACTATAACACGAGTCTATAATGTGGGTATAAAACACACACACACACACACACACACACACACACACACACACACACACGCACACACATTGTTCCTATAGATAAGAGTCTGGAGGAAAAGCTAAAATCCCCTTTCAATTCTCTTTCATCTTCTCCTCTTCCTTTGCTCCTTTACAACCAACTGCCTTTGTCTCCTCTTTTATTTCCCTCATTGTTCTCGCTTTTATCGTCTCTTTGTCTCTCTCCAGTTTTATGGAATCTACTGCTGTTTGTGCTTTGGATAACTTTCTAAATCATTTGTCTGATCTACAATGAATAATGATATTTTGTATTGGTAGTGTGTGTGTGTGTGTGTGTGTGTGTGTTTTGAAAATGGTTTTAAGATATTAGAATAGGAATGATTGCTTTTATTTTATTTTATTTTATATTATTTCATTTATTTATTATTATTATTATTTTTTTTTTATTTTTATTTTTTTGAAGACGGTCAAAAGACGTCAGATTACCATTGGTTAACTCAAGTATTTATGGCACCACATAAATACTGTTATGTTGTCTTGAGTCTTTAAAGCTGTTCACTGAAGCTCAATCTCCCTGGTTTTGTCTCCCCCCCTTCCTAGAGTCTTATAAAAACATATTAGCTTTAAGACTTATTACTATTATTAATAAAGGTAAATCATAACCCAGTCTTGATATTATTAGACTCACGTTGTATTTTCTAACCTTAATACAACCAGTGATGTATTTATGATAATATTTAACTGCTGATGAATACAATAATTATGGATCTATAATAAGTACTTAAAGACCTTAGAGGTTGAGGAGTCTTTAATTTGGGTCTTGGTATCATGATGAAGTCGACTTGTAGAAGATGATACATTGATACAGTCTTTCTCTAAGGTTTAATAACTTTAGTCTGTATATGAGAAAAGCCTCGGTACTTTGGATGTATTGTTGGGCGCCAGACCGTAAGATTCAATCTGCGCCAGAACGAGGGTTGGGAAGTCGTTTTGACCAGATTGAGTTTAGTGTTGGTATTGACTGTGTTGGTCACATTCACAAGCCCAGTTCCTGCTTCTCGCTTCTAGTTCTTTTTTCATCAGTTATAACGGTTTTTTTTAACAACTCGTAGCCAGACTAATGTTGTGAAGTGTTATGGTAATGGTGTGGTGATTGTGGTCTCAGGTGTTCAACAGGGTAGTGTTTTGGGGCCTATTGTTATTTAGGGTCATATGAAGATCAGCACCTCTCCTAACGCTAGCCTGATTTTTTTTACCTAGCCTAATCTACCTTAACATAACTTAACCTAACGTAACATAACATAGCCGAATCTAACTCAACATAACTTAACTTAACCTAATCTACAGTAACCTAACCTAACCAGAACTAACTTAACCCCCCCCTCTCCCCTAAGGTAGCATTGGGGTGTTTAATTATCAGGTGAAATAAAATGGGGAGCTAATCTTCATATGATCATTTATTATTAGTGATGTTTGGAAGTATCTTGAGAGTTAACTCACCTCACACGCTGACGATGCCAAGCTGACAATGCCACGCTGACGATGCCACGCTGGCGATGCCAAGATGACGATTCCAAGCTAACGATGCCAAGCTGACGATGCCAAGCTGACAATGCCATGCTTACGATGTCACGCTGTCTATGACAAGCTGACGATGCCACGCTAACGATGCCATGCTGACGATGCCCAGCTTACGATGCCAAGCTGACAATGCCACGCTTACGATGCTACGCTGACGATGCCACGCTGACTATGCCAAGCTGACGATCCCACGCTGACGATACCTTCCCACCTCCACTTAGCATCAATATTTTCATCTTTTCCCCAACACCCGTCATTCACCTGAGACACCTATCACTCTCCTCACCTGTCTTCATCCAATAACAACATCTTCCTCCCAATCCTGATATCAACATTGTCTATCACACTCCTAACATTAGATACTCACCTGAGAAACCATCCATCTTACCTGTAAAGATTCATCATTAACTTCGTCTTACTCCGTACTACCTGCCATCAACATCCTCACCTCACTCCCAACATCAATTACTCCACCTGAGAGACTATTTTACCTCATCTGTCTGGACCCCAGCATCAACACCCACGTCTGAGCACTACTGGTTACAACCTGCCTGAGGAAGTTGTTGTCCTCCCGCTCCTCTCGAAATCTCATTTACGGGATTCTCTCTCTCTCTCAAGGTGCCTGCAGCTCGAGTAAACAAGACCTTGGGAGCCGGAGAGTAATTTAGTGTATCTCTTGCCTGAGGGATTGGGTGAGAGGTGTCCTTGTAGGGTGAGGGATTGGGTGAGAGGTGTCCTTGTAGGGTGAGGGATTGGGTGAGAGGTGTGCTTGTAGGGTGAGGGATTGGGTGAGAGGTGTGCTTGTAGGGTGAGGGATTGGGTGAGAGGTGTGCTTGTAGGGTGAGGGATTGGGTGAGAGGTAGGTCTGCAGGGTGAGAGATTGGATGAGAGATGTTTCTGAGCTTACACACACACACACACACACACACACACATACACACACACACACACACGTCATCCACACACGCACATAAATAAATACACACACACAGAGACAGGCAAGCTTCCTCTCTCTCGCTCTCTCTCTCTCTCTCTTCTTCCTCTCCTCTCTCCTCCTCCTCCCTCCTCCTCCCTGACCAATGTGTTGGAACAACTCTGGCGCTTCTCTAAAAGGTAAAAAATTTCCTGAAGATCGCTTTGAAATCTCTTCTAAATATGCAAAGTTTCCCCGGTGTTTTCGGAGGACCTTGATTGCTGCTGCTAAGAGAGAGAGAGAGAGAGAGAGAGAGAGAGAGAGAGAGAGAGAGCTGACGTTTGTAAGAGAGACAGCAAGGAGAGGAGGAAGAGGAAGAAGAGATGGAAGAACAGGAGGAAGGAAGAAAGAGGAAGAGGAAGAAGAGGTGGAGGAAGAGTCTAAAAAGAGGAAAAGGAGGGGGGAGGAGAAAGAAGAAGATGAAGAGGAAGAAAAGGTGGATAAAGATGAAAAGGAGGGAGAGGAGGGGGAGGAAAAAACAAGAGAAGGAAGAAGAGGAAGAAAAAGAGAAGGAGGAAGAAGAGATGAGGAACAGGAAGAGGAGGAGAGGTAGAAGAATACGAAAAGAAAACTCTTTATTTGTCATGCATTATTCGAGTAACGTGTAGGAAGAATTTTGGGCGAGTTAGCAGAAGCAAATGGCAAGTAATTAAGCAGATGATGTCAGCAGGAAGCAGGTAAAAACAGCAGATACAGCAAAAGAAGTTTGAAGGAGACTATCATTCTTTCTTTCTCTCTCTCTCTCTATTTCTGTCTGTCTGTGTCTGTCTGTATCTGTCTCTAGCTGTTTATCCTTGTGTCTCAGTCTTCTCTATATATGTCTGTCTGTCTGTCTGTCTGTTGTTTCTCCGTCTGTCTGTCTGTCTGTCTGTCTCACGGCCCAAAGTTCGGCGGGTTATGATCCAAATCACCTTATATTCGGCTACGCAGCGGAGGAACTTTGCTCCGTCAGCAGGAAGGAATGTTAAGGAAGGAAGGACGGGGGGTGAGGTGACGCAAGGGGTTAGATGAAGCAGAAGGCAAGTGAAGCAAGGGGGTCAGGTGAAGCAGGGGGTCAGGTGAAGCAGGGTGTCAGGTGGTCAGGTGAAGCAGGGGTCAGGTGAAGCAGGGGTCAGGTGAAGCAGGGGGTCTGGTAAAGCAGGAGAGCAGGTGAAGCGAGGAGGAGGAGGGAGGAGGGTCAGGGTCAGGTGAAGCAGTGTGGGGGAAGGTGAAGCAGGGGGAGTCAAGTGAAGTAGGTGAAACAAGAAGAGGAAACTCCAGGTAACGAGTCTCTCTGTACCTAACCTAACCTAACCCCCCCAGGTAACATTAGAATCTTCAGGTGAGATAAATTGAGGTATCTAAACTACAGGTGTTTTAACTCACAACTAATCAGGTTAGTTATGAAGTAGTCTCAATGTCAGTTAATTGGACAAGAAACTGGCAGGTATACAGATACTCTAAAAGCTAAGTAGGTAGTAACAACAATGATCTTACTGTATTGTTTATTTATCTTTAACGTTTCTTATATATATATATGGTCTGTATATCTTGATCTATATAGTATATGGTTTAATAGAGTATATCCTCCTGGCCCTCGGGAGACGTGAGGAGGTGTATAGGAATCGATATATAGTATAATCATCTAATTCCCTGTAACTCAATTCTGTTATCAAGAGTTTCGGTTGTCACGAACTGGAGACCCTAAAACTGTATCTCTGCGGGTGTGTTGTAGCCAGAGACACAACAACATCAACAACAACAACAATAACAACAATAACAGTAAAAACAATAACATCATCAACAACATCAACAACAAAAACAACAATAACAACAATAACAGCAGAAAAACAACAATAACAACAACAATAACATAAAAAAAACAATAACAGCAACAGCTAAAACAACAACAAAAGCAACAACAACAACAACAATAACAGTGTATCGTTACTCAATTGGGTAAAATGCCTCTGAGGGGATGACAGCAGCAGACACAGACAGAGTATGGTAAGATGAAGCAGAAGACAATACAGCAGGTGGCAGCAGAAGACAGTACAGCAGGTGGCAGCAGAAGACAGTACAGCAGGTGGCAGCAGAAGACAGTGCAGCAGGTGGCAGCAGAAGACAGTGCAGCAGGTGGCAGCAGAAGACAGTACAGCAGGTGGCAGCAGAAGACAGTACAGCAGGTGGCAGGCAGAAGAGCACAGCAGATGGCAGCAGAAGACAGTACAGCAGATGCAGCAGAGGCAGCAGACAGTGCAGCATGGCAGAAGACAGTACAGCAGAGCAGACAGGTGATGGCAGCAGAAGACAGTACAGCAGGTGGCAGCAGCAGCAGATGGACAGTACAGCAGATGGCAGCAGAAGACAGTGACAGCAGGTGGCAGCAGAAGACAGTACAGCAGATGGCAGCAGCAGCAGCAAGGCAGCACAGCAGCAGCAGAAGACAGTACAGCAGATGGCAGCAGAAGACAGACAGCAGATGGCAGCAGAAGACAGCAGGTGGCAGCAGAAGACAGCAGCAGGTGGCAGCAGAAGACAGCACAGCAGGTGCAGAAGACAGTACAGCAGATGGCAGCAGAAGACAGTACAGCAGTACAGCAGGTGGCAGCAGAAGACAGCACAGCAGATGGCAGCAGAAGACAGTACAGCAGATGGCAGCAGAAGACAGTGCAGCAGGTGGCAGCAGAAGACAGTACAGCAGATGGCAGCAGAAGACAGTGCAGCAAGTGCAGCAGAGCAGAAGACAGACAGAGCAGATGGCAGCAGAAGACAGTACAGCAGATGGCAGCAGAAGACAGCAGCAGATGGACAGCAGCAGAAGCAGCAGAAGTACAGCAGGTGGCAGCAGAAGACACAGCACAGCAGAGTGGCAGCAGAAGACAGTACAGCAGATGGCAGCAGAAGACAGTACAGCAGATGGCAGCAGAAGACAGTGCAGCAGATGGCAGCAGAAGACAGTGCAGCAGATGGCAGCAGAGACAGAGCAGTGCAGAAGACAGTACAGCAGATGGCAGCAGAAGATACAGCAGATGGCAGCAGAAGACAGTACAGCAAGTGGCAGCAGAAGACAGTACAGCAGATACAGCAGATGCAGCAGAAGACAGCACAGCAGGTGGCAGCAGGCAGGTGGCAGAAGACAGTACAGCAGGTGGCAGCAGAAGACAGTACAGCAGATGGCAGCAGAAGACAGTACAGCAGGTGGCAGCAGAAGACAGTACAGCAGGTGGCAGCAGAAGACAGTACAGCAGGTGGCAGCAGAAGACAGTACAGCAGGTGGCAGCAGAAGCAGGAGAAGGAGAGGGGTGGATGAAAAGGCTGATTTAGATATGAGAGCCACAGCAGCTGCGACAGATAACTGAGAGATATTATTTGTTTCCCCACATTCACATTTCACTCTATTCAACCTTCTCATTCATCACCACCACCTCTGGACGCCAGCTTTCCTACGCCCCCTCACCTTCCCCTCTCCTCCTCATCCTTATCCATCCCTTCCTAAATTTCCATTCAATTACTGAGGTTCACGTGGGTGCCGTTCGGGAATATAGACCATCAATAGCTGGAATTTAAGGGAGAGAAGCAGAGGGTCGAGTGGAAAAAAGGACAAATGGAAGGGTAGGGAAGGGGAGGAAAGGAAAGGGAGGGGGAGGGCGACTGGAACGAGAGGTTAAAGGGAAGGGGATGAAGGTTGAGGAGGAAGAGTAAGGGGGGGGGGGAGGAGGAGGAGGACCCCGGCTGCAGCCTTGAGATAGGATTTACCTCGAGTCTGCCATTAAAAATCTCGAAATTGAAATCCATTTTCCCGGATCGAAAAGTGGGAGACGCTTTTGGGAAGGATTTTAATTTAGCGACGTTCTCTAGGTAAGCCGTCGTGGTTTGTCACTCCTTCACTCTTAACAATGTGGAATTCCCAGTAATGATGGGTGGGCAGTCGAGAGTCATTAGATCAATTCCGGTAAAGTGGGTCGACACGAAGGGGGGAAGCTAAATCAATGTGTGAGTGAAGATAAGGAGACCATCAGGAGTTTCATCGGTCACTGGGTTTATGGCTCGGTAATCCAGTTTGTCCTGCCGATTGGAGAACGTTTCCACACGAACGATCATCCAGCTGGGGATCTTCTTCCTCTATATAACTAGAATTTCACACTGGCTTTGACCTTCACAGAGAGATCATTTTTCACCTACAAGCGAGAGGGTAAAAAAAAAAAAATGTCATCTTTGAACTTTATTAAAGGAATTCTTTGAGTAACAATGATACGTCTACGCTGTGGCTCTTTACCTGTATAATGAATATCAATTACTCTGGTATCACCTGAAGATTAGTCCCCCTCAGGTTATCCCCCCCAAACATTAACCACTCGAATGATACCTTGGCGGGAGGGGGTGGTTAGGTTAGTGTGGTTCATCTTTACAGCTTAATTGGTTTATCTTCAGGTGATACATTAATTTATGCTTCAGGTAAACATATATTTCTATATTTGTTTGTAATATAGTCTAACCTTCGTTAATTTCTCTATAATGTTACTATCGTGTCCTCTGTATAAACGATAAGTAAGAAAAACCTTTTTAGATTACCATTTAGTTATTTAGTATCAGTAGCATGTATTATGAACCTCAAATTACTCATATACTTCAAATATTATTTTCGTTTATCTCTCCCAAAAATAATATAATTTTAAATTAAACTTACGGAAAAAAAAATCATAGCAACTCCTTAAATATAAAATTTACTCCTATATATTTATTGTTAGTTTATATATATTTTTTCTTCAGTTTATTATATTACATAAAAATCCGAGACAATATTTATCATCATAGCCTTACGTCTTCTTGTGTCTTCAGATCCTGTTAAGTTCTCTTCCCTCCAGCTAGATAGAAAGACATGATTAACTACAACTTTTCCGAATAATAAAGTTAATTTGATTATATAGTGATCATAAATACACTATATTAGGATGTGAAAGATTTTATAGTGAATATTTTCAATATGTATACATGTATAATTGACGTATGTATATAAAATGGATAACTTCGATTCATATTATATAATTTTAAATATACTCTCTAGTGGCTATTAATAGGTTATGTGATACCGGCGTCCATTTTTTAGCAGCTGCTCTTTGCTCAAACACTACGTAATTAATTCCCGGGAAAAAAGTAATTGAGTACAAAGGTCCTGGACGTTGGGTAAATAGTTTAGCTTTTAACCTTAATTATTACGCTGGTTATATGTATAAAAAAAAAAGAGTCCCAACGTATTAAAAAAGTCCTTCAGTTTTGTTGAGAATTTTCCATTATAATTTTCAAATCAATGGTGACGTAAAAACTCCAAAAAATCAACAGAATTTAGTAAAGTTTGTATAGTTTTATAGTAGCGTTGAGAGAGAGAGAGAGAGAGAGAGAGAGAGAGAGTATAACACACACACACACACACACACACACACACACACACACACGCAGGGATGAGAGTAGCTGTGGGTATTTCTGGCGAGATGAATGCTTGTGACCTCCTCTTACTTGACATACTGAGAGCATCATGAAGGTCGTAGATGAACAAGATACACAGGGAGATGAGACTACAACATGTCAGCCAGCCAAGTTACACTGACGGACCGAGCACCTATAATAACTCTACGCTAAAGTCTTGATTAAAATTACTATCCCCAGCGAGCACACGTTGTTGTCATCATAAACAAGTTGCAGGAAGGTTAAAAAAAAAAATATATGCATGTGCGTTCAACAGCTCAGAATATTTTACAGTTACCTCAGGAATATTGTGCTTGAGAGTTGCAGTATTGCCAGGGTGAACGTAAATTTTTGCTCTAGCGTATGAGGGAGGAGGAGGAGGATTGTTCCACCAAGGTTATTATCGTATAAACACTCTAAAATAAACAAAATTCAGTGTTGTTTACTTGGTTCTTAGTGATCCGTACCGGTGTGTATGAGATGAGTGTTTGTTTACAGTCAGCTTCACTTCTGCTATACTGTGTATGTGCAAACAAGTGTTCTCTTGATTTGTATTTCTTTGTTTTTGTTAATGAATCGTGTGTTTACTAAACTAGATAACACGATTGAAGACCTTAGTTAGACCTTAGTTGTTGTAGTATAGTAATACATTATAACATCAACAACAGACCTTAGTTGTTATAGTGTAGTAATACATTATAACATCAACAACAGACCTTAGTTGTTGAAGTGTAGTAATACATTATAACATCAACAACAGACCTTAGTTGTTGAAGTGTAGTAATACATTATAACATCAACAACAGACCTTAGTTGTTGAAGTGTAGTAATACATTATAACATCAACAACAGACCTTAGTTGTTGAAGTGTAGTAATACATTATAACATCAACATCTTAAAGACCTTAGTTGTTGAAGCGCAGTAATACATTATAACATCAACATCTTAAAGACCTTAGTTGTTGAAGCGTAGTAATACATTATAACATCAACATCTTAAAGACCTTAGTTGTTGAAGCGTAGTAATACATTATAACATCAAGTTCTTAAAGACCTTAGTTGTTGAAGCGTAGTAATACATTATAACATCAACATCTTAAAGACCTTAGTTGTTGAAGCGTAGTAATACATTATAACATCAACATCTTAAAGACCTTAGTTGTTGAAGCGTAGTAATACATTATAACATCAACATCTTAAAGACCTTAGTTGTTGAAGCGTAGTAATACATTATAACATCAACATCTTAGGAGCCTTGGTTATTTGAAGCGTAGTAATACATTATAACATCAACATCTCTTAAAGACCTTAGTTGTTGACGCATTAATACATTATAACATCAACATCTTAAAGACCTTTGTTGCTGAAGCGTAGTAATACATTATAACATCAACATCTTAAAGACCTTAGTTGCTGAAGCGTAGTAATACAATATAACATCAACATCTTAAAGACCTTAGTTGTTGAAGCGCAGTAATACATTATAACATCAACATCTTAAAGACCTTAGTTGCTGAAGCGTAGTAATACATAGTAATACATTATAACATCAACATCTTAAAGACCTTAGTTGCTGAAGCGTAGTAATACAATATAACATCAACATCTTAAAGACCTTAGTTGTTGAAGCGCAGTAATACATTATAACATCAACATCTTAAAGACCTTAGTTGCTGAAGCGTAGTAATACAATATAACATCAACATCTTAAAGACCTTAGTTGTTGAAGCGTAGTAATACATTATAACATCAACATCTTAAAGACCTTAGTTGTTGAAGCGTAGTAATACATTATTATAACAATATCTCTTGATCATAAATGGATGTAAATGAGGCATTATTATGAGACATTTCAATTGGTGGAAACTAAATGGATAAACAATCTTTCATCTTTGTTTGATGGTGTATTTTAAATGGTTGTTTTGATTTGCGAAATTGATTGAGAAATTTGTCTGTTTTATTAGGAAATTTCAATGTTTTGATTAGAAAAATATGATTGTTTTGACTTGGGAATAAAAGGACCCACACTGGGGCAAACTTTACTTTATACTAACAGTTTAAAAGTGAGGACGAAATAAAGCAAATACCTCACCTCGCATCACGCCTCACCACGCTTCATGCCTCACCACGCATCATGCTTCACCACGCTTCATGCAGCAAAAATATAATCTGAACATTACCGCACCATGCTAAACCCTGTTATGTAAGACATCTTGAAGGTATGAGGAGGCTTGTTAGAGGTATATCAACTTAATGCTCCTCAAATGTCAAAGTTCTTGAACATAAGAATTAAAAAAACTTGCTGACTTTCTGCATTTCTACATCCTCTCTCGCACACACACACACACACACACACACACACACACACACACACACACATTCTCTCCCCCCTTTGTTCCTATTCATCCATTCATCTTACTCCTCTTTCTCTCGCTCTACAACCTTCTCCCTCTCTCTCTATCTCTCCCGCCTCCATTCCCCTCTTGCCTCCTTTCATCTTCTTCCTCGTCCTCCTACGCTCCTTCCCCCTTCCTTTTTCTCCCCGGTGGCTCTTAGGTAAAATTGCACCGTCAATAACTCACGCTTGCCTTCCAACCTGACGGAACTACCTGACGACTGTAGGTAATAGAATCCATTTAGTAATAGCGTACAGACACACAGGCTAACGAAGGGAATAAAGTTCGACGATTTGCTGTGGTCTTGTATGTTGTGTATTATACAATTATTAGTATGCTTCAATAACTAAGGTATTTAAGTGTGTAATTAGATTAGTAATTACACTCGTCATTAATAATTATAATTTATGAGATACAACTCGCATGTTGATGTTATTATGCATTACCAAGCTCCAGCATTTAAGTTGGTAATTACGGTAATGCGTCAGTTAATTATGTGA